TAGGGAAATGCTTTGAAATTTTCTTTTAAAAACAGAAAATCAAGAAGTTGTGTAATCTTATCGTTCTTCGCCTGTGGTCTATTTTTATTCTCTTGGAAGCCATACTTAATACGCGTTATACGGTGGAAATAACCAAGGTAAATGTAAAACGACGGGTAATTGAATAACACGGTTGGACGGTCGATTGGCTTAACGCTTATTAAAATAAAAGGTCGTCGACCTGACTCGCGACCGGTGGACTCCACCTTGTCGCAGATGACGCAGCGCATCAACAGATACGGTTAAACTGGACGTGTCTGTGCCTCTTATCTGTGTCCTCACAAACGCTGTCACAGCGTGAGTAATAAATTGCTCGAGTGGACAGATCGAAGTCGAATAACGAAATTAACTGCGCTCAACCAGACTACACGCGATAAGTCGATGAAGAAACATAAAAGATGTTAAATCAATCTCTAATTTTTTTATGCAGACGTGATCGCGATGAACACGATTGATTCAGAATTAAAATTTAAATAGGAATTAAGATCTCAGGGAAAGATGTAAAGAGAAAATATAATTCGATATACTAATTGGAAAGATGCTTGATTTACTTCGAGTCTAGTTTAATTTTTTAATATAACATTCACTTGAGTACTGGAGACGATTTGTGAGAACGCACTTTCTAATGACAGTTATGCTATTCTTAGGATACTCTATTCGTCAATTGACCCTGATTAGTTGTATTATCTTTAAAGAATACATAATTCTATCTAATACAATTATATCTGTGATTTCAGAACTTCGTATAGAAATTTACTTCTCTTTCTCTTAATAATAAACTTTACAAACTGACTCACTCGTTTATTCTACTATTAATAATTTCATTATTACAATAAGTTGATTTGAGAATGTGTAAACCGATTGAGAGTTACGCTGTTAACTGAAATTTTAGTAATCAGAATGACACGTTGACTCACCCAGAAGAGGCACCAACTTGTCGTTCGGACTGAGCTGACTAGCCAAATCCCTGCCCAGCTCCTCGCACTCGATCTCTTCCGGCAGCTTCTTCCTGCAAATCGGAATCTCCAAGTTCTTCGCTGGTAATTCAAGCTCCGTTGAGTCCGGGATATCAGTCTGCGAGGCAGCGTCGCTAGTAGCCGTGTTCACGCGGAGCACGATTTCCGTGCGTTGTACCAAAGTCAGGCCTTCGATTCCCGGCTGAGGCGACACGCACGGCGAAGACAAAGGCGGCGATCTGTCCTCATCGACCGGAGAATTTCTGGGCGACGACGAAGAAGAAGCCTTCGACATGCTTGAGATCGTAGACGTCGAGGACCTTCCACCGAATCTGGACTTGCTCAACGATCTGTCCACTCGTAACTCAATCTCGTTCATCTGACTCGAACGAACCGGCGAATTGGATCTGTTCGATGAACCAGAATTGTCCGTCTGGGTGGGACTGGAGACCTTCCTGTTGTTAGGAGAGGAGTTGTTCGACAAGTTTCGCGGAGATATGCAAGAATCCGAGGATCTACTCGAGGCAGAACTAGAACAGCTTCCAGATCGTCGGGCCACCGCGCCTCTTGGACTATCCCGTTCCGCTTGATTCGGCGACCTGGGCGGCGAGCTGGTCGGTGGTGGAGGTCTTTCCACGGAGACTGTCGAGCTTTCGGTGGTACTCTGCGACTCGTGACCATTTCGTGGCCAACAACTGTCCGTTCCGATCGTCATCGTCGTTGACGTCGGTGACGTCGTGATGCATGTACTGACAGCAGTGCTCGTCGAGGCTGACGTCGCGCTAGTTCTCTTCTCGTTACGTCGGTTCAGAAGTTCGATGTTCTGAGAGGTCATTTCGATAGTGGCGCTTCGCTCGCGGAAGAAATCTTTCTCGACCACCGACGAGGGACTGTCCATGCTTCGATTCTGCTTCTAATAAAACAGACATAATTATTATTATTATTAATCGATATTCGCTGTCAGTTCCGTAGTTATCGTTCCTCGATGCATCATAGGTGAAGGCTACTGTACTTCGTCCTTTGCTTTACTTATATTAGTCATGCAATATTATGCCGAGATAAATTCAAATTTTAATCTACACCGTTTTTCTTTAAATACTAACATAAAGAAATGATTAGATACAAACGAAGTGAGATAATATGGACGCCGTACGTGATTTGGAGCAGAAAGAAATAAACTAGTGTACATAAGTGCAATGTCGACAGTGTTACACTTAAGTAACCCACTGAACCGAGGATGCATCGACGGGGCATGGAGGCGAGCGTGCTAAACGTTCAAAGAGAAATATTACCTCTCTGTTCTGAGGTAGGGGTTCGCAACTAGCCGCCAGCTTCCTGCGTTCGCGTTCCAGCTGTCGGTTCCTGTCGTTAAGAACCTCGACGCTCTGGGGCGACAGCCGTTCCCTACGTTGCTCATAATCGTGCCTTTTCTCTTGCTGCCTCTTCTCCTGATGATGATGATGATGGTGGTGATAATGTTGATGTCGATCCTCCAGGTTATCGTTGTTATTATTCTCGCTGGTTCGCGATCTCGCCGGCTCGCTGGCCTGCAGTTTCTTGTTCAAATCGTGCGACAACTTTCCGATCACCTCCGTAGAGTTTTGTTGTTGTTGCTGTTGCTGCTGTTGTTGTTGCACGGATCGTTCTTCCAGTCGATGATGAAGGGCGTCCACGCTGTGAGACTTGGACAGCTCCGGCTGTTGCGAATAGTGATTATTGTGATGGTGATGGTGATGGTGATGGTGTTGCAAGGGATGATGAGGCGTGACGCGCAGAAGAACCGGATCGTCGTGGTCTCGCGGCGGCGGCCAGTCCTCTAAGCGAGACGTAGGTGACATGGTCCTCTTGTAGCTGCCCTCGGTATCGGGCGCCCCGCGTTCCCGCCGATAAGCCAAGTAAGAGGCCTTCGACTGGCTCCTGCAACAGAATTTAATGCGACGATCAGATGATAATAATAAAAAGAGTACGTCTTAATAGTTTAAATTAAAAATCTAATGCCTTTGCCGATCATTTTAGATCATTATATCTCTTTTTATAATATTAAAACTCGTTATCCTGCTCGAATCTCCACACAGAGAAAAGTAGAGTTATTGCAATAAAAAAGAGAATATATTTTTACGACAGCAATTTTTCATCTAACACAGCAAGGTCACCCGGTAGAACGAAAATACCTAATCTTTCATATTACATCTGTTGCCACACCCAAAGTTCACGTTATTGCTCAGCCGTCGGAAATAAACGCACGAAAATAGAGCAACGTTCTTCACACGTCCAACCGTGAATGTGTACATAATTACGCAGCTGCCCGCTTTGATCGTACGACTTTAACACGTGGTTACAAGACTGTATTCGAATTTCAGATCACAGTCAAGCTTGTCCGAATTCTGATAAAATTATCAGACACGTTTTCGCAAGGAATAGGAATTCGTCTTCAATCTAGAATATGCAGCAAATGCAATTTTACACGCAACGGGATGTACAGCCTCAGACGCACCTCGCCGGGTATGTCGAGAGGAAAAGTGAACGATTGTCTGGGCTCCGGTTGCGAAATTCATACCAGCGCATCAACGATGATTAATTGTTAATCTTGATTGATTGATAAACCATAGAACGCAATCGGCTTACACTGTCAGGAGTAGTAGCGAGGATCTCGACCGTGTGATATTCCAATTATGACGCAAGCCGGATTTGATCGCGACCGGATACTCCGGCCGATATGTACGCTACGTGAATCTCAATAAGTTCCGCCTCGGGTAACTCTCAGCGAATTTTCCACGAACAAGCGTACGCAATGTAACATCCGTTTAATGTAACATCCGAACGTCTGAAATATACTCTTAGAATTGATATTAGATTTTTGTTGAAAATAAGTATTTAGGAATTGGAAATTTATTATATTTATAAATTTTTATTTAGGAATTGGAAGATATTAGGAAATGGAAATTTTCATTTCCATCGAAAAGGTGAACGTTTCCAGTGGTCTTCTGTGGAACACGATTCGAAAGCGATGACAATCAAGTCTACTGTGCCTAATTACTTCGGTCTCGTTACGGTCGTTCGAGCAAAACCGGCAGCAGTTTGTGAACGATATCTTGCCTTGATGGCTTATCAATAAATTGGCGAACTACCGAGAAGTTTAATTTCTTGCAGGTCAATTGACCTACGTTATTGCACCTCGGTATCTATCTATGTCGAATTCGTTACAATCTGGTCTGAGTTGATATTATCAAACTACGTTCGTTCGGTAAATTGACAGATTTTTATACACGGCAAGAAAACTAACAAATATACAAATGACTATAAATACAATTTTCCTTCGCTTTGGAATCGAGAACATTTTCCACAAGTCTAATGTTCAATAGTTTATCTGTAGCAGTTTCCAGTTAAATTAGAGAGCGTTATTTACCGTAGAACTATGCAGAAGTTCGCACGATCGACTCGCAGATTTTCTGTCCCGTTCTGGTTAGGATCGTGCGTGACAGCGGAAAAGAAAGTTCGTTACCGTAACGAGGTGGCCCGAGCAAAGGATGAAAGTAAAATAAAATTTCGCGTCTTAATTCTAAACACGCGGCCCGGCCGCCTCGGAAAAAATCGGCCGCCGAGCTACCATACCAAACGCGATTTTACCAGTAAATATTACTGAACAGGTTATTAAATAACTAGTTATATAATTATTTCTCGTTTCTAAAAATCCTTCACGAATCGGACTGGTTTCTAAAAGCTGTAAGATTACATTTAATAATTCCCGATTTATATAACAAGCGCTATTAGCTAAGAATTTAGAATCATTCGTTGAACTATGATAATTTATCTTCTTTTCAACGTTCGTCACAAAGCATAAATGTCCAGAGAAACTTAGCGGGTTTAATTTGGCGATACGTACCGCTAATACGGGCTTGGCACAAAGTATGTCAAGTGAAACGCGGTCTGATTCAATTCAAAAGTGACAGACGAACTTGCAAACGAGTACGAGACGTGCACCAAATGTCCAGCGTTAAGTATGTGTGTTCACAGTAGCAATTCCAATCCCAAAATCTTCAGTTTAAAAAATTTCAATCAATTGTATTGTAATATCGTCCTTCATTCTTATACGTGAATCCTATTAAGTCAATGGACGCCGCGTATCAAAGAGCATTTCTGTTACAGCGAATTAGTAATAATGAATATCGTCTTGCCCGTTTTTCTATTCACTATTAAGATCGTTTATGAGTCATCTAAAAAAGTAATTCGTAGGAAGCAATCTTCGGGAACAGAAAAAAGTAGCTGGTAGCTCGCGAACCATAAAGTGGCCACCGCAGGTCTATCATTTCCGAAGCGAGCGCGATAGTGCACCGTGAGAACTGATTGTGAGAACGAGCCAGGAAGGAAAATCAACCGTCCCGGATCTTCGAGCACGCGAATCGCTTCCGCGAGCATCTTCTTTCGTTCTCTCGCGCTTTACCCCGTCCCCGGCGCCGCGCGATTCAACGCTGCCCTCTTGTTCTTTCATTGTTTTTTTTTCCACGGTTCATCCGTTCAATCATCTGACAGTAGTTACTGGAACGAGTAAACGATTTCATTGTAGAAAGCGACGGGGTTATGCAACGTGACCGTGTAACTGGCCAGGTTGCGTGATATATGTACATATATGCGTACACAATTTCATAAGTATATGGAATTATGTAAACGAACGCTGGTGACAAGAATTGCAGCCATAGAAAACCGCAGTTTCCTGTCTTCACGAACATCGTTCGAAGCCACATTTGTTGTTCGTTAAATTTTATTTTAAGAAGCAACGATGATTAATATTTCGTTTTAACCAGTTAACTGTGTCGATCATTTTGCAAAGTGCGCCCCAGTGTGCGTCGCGATAATCAAGCGATGACGGATATAGTCGTCAAACACAGAGTAAGTGACGCTGTTGAAATATTGGGTCAAAAGGACGACTTTATTTTAGAAAATGAATGAATTTATTCACGGATATAGCCGTCATAACACAAAATTCTGCCATTCTTCTATGACGGATATAGTCGTCAAACTGGTTAAAACAGTTTTATCTCTGACGATTCTAAATTTAGCCTCAAGATTATTAAACCATTTTCCTTTTCATTGAGTCTCAGGTATATAGAACTTTTTAATTTGCTACAAGTAAATATAAGAGGAAATTAAACGAAAATGTATTATCAGATATAATATTATATTTAACATGGCAGACGAGATAAAATCGCGGCGCAATAGCGAGATATCTACACGCAACAGGCTTAATTACCTACGAGCCATCTTCGCCAGTTACAAGAAAATCCTAATGAACTGTACGCAAATGTTTCGTTCAACGGAACCATCGGAAAAGCTTGAACCCGGAAAACGGATCTCAGGAAAGCTAAGTAGATAAGTAAGTACGCACGTCTGTGTGTACTTAACAAATTGCTTCGCGCTCGAGGTATATATTACAAGCGCGCGCTTTTTTTTCCATTACTCGAGCGCTTTTAAACGAGAGCTTGGTACGTAGCAAGGTTCGTTCATGAAATAAGTAACGAACCATTTTGCCAGATAGCAGGAGCTGGCGCACGCACTAGCCTTAAAAAGTTACTCTCGGTAACGATCATACGTAACGACGTACACGCACGGTACCCCTTTCACGACACGTGTTTTCTCCTCTTCGTTGCTCTTTTTATTCTGTCCCGAGCGCGGATAATTACCGCCGGGGATCATGCACGCACGCGAGCCAACAGGAGGAAGCTGTCGACGTGTCCACTGGTAGCCTCTTCTTCCCCGGAAAAACGTGTAAGCGAGTTTGTGTTCTGATACATTCCAATCGTGATCGTAGAAAAATGATATCCAAGATGTAAAACGTTCTTCAGTTATAAATAAATTTTAACATTAATTGTAGAAGCAAGTTTCTATACGAAAATTGCAATCTGAAATATTTCATTCCTTGCATAATTAATTTTTTATCGCAACGATTTATCGGAATATCGTCCAACGATTTCCCTTAATCCAGTTTCTGAAGAAGTTATAAATATTTGAAATAACATGCTGGCAATGCAGTTTCTTCAACTATATTTCACTCGAACGTAAAGAACGACGTTATGGAAATTGGAAAAGGACCAGTATATCTAAATAACATAACGGAAAGCTTGCTAGCTTCTCGAAACTCGAACAAATACTTTGCGATGATTTATATGCAACGATAAACGGGTACAAAGTAATATATTTCAGCCAGGCGACGGGTATTAAAATGTACATTATTATGTGCCGTGTTTTTATTTCACTTTTGCGATGACGTTCGGATGGTAGGCGTAACACAGTTTTCCCCGATATCTCGACAACACGATAGGTATCTCCGTTGATTTAGTGTGGCGGAATTTTTATCGGTGAAAGAAACTAGAAAAGCGATAATGCTGGGCATTGATTACGCTCGTACGTGTTTCTGCGCACTTCCGGTTATGATCGCGGGCACCCATAAGCGTTATCGCATCGATCTGCCGCAATTAGACGCGTTGATAATGCTTCCTCAGCGGTTCCTAGTTTGTTAACATGCTACGCACCCAGTCCCCCGAGCCAATAATAATTCCGTTCTCCATTAAATACGCTGATTTATTTTAGTCGATCCTTTGATCAAGGAGCATTAAATTCCAACGCAATACCGTTGGCGGATGAATACATAAACGAGAATGAATCACTTAACGAGGTAAACGTTCAAGTGCTATGGCAAGAACCTCTAAATTCCAATGAGATTAAGTCGATCGGTAAATTAATTCTCATCGATGGTTCTTTAATTAAAATGTCCAAAGGGGAACATTCTACAAATATCCGTGTTTCATTTTTACCATGAAAATTGATCAATGAAAATTAAATTCATTTATCTATTGCAATTGGATAGTAGATATGATATACTATACTGCAATATCTTTATCGCATTTAAAAAAGTACATGAGTCCATATAACAATTATATCATTTATAAACATTATTCATGCAACACTTGCGACAAAATTCCATTGCAGATTATCGTCGTAATTCTATGGCCTCATATCTTGCCACTTGTTACCAATCAAGCTGTGTACATATTTCAATACAAGCCATATGGAGGATTTGAGACCCGTCACTGCCATAATCCACTTGAAACATCGAATCAATATTATTACATCAATAGTTTTATCTATAGAATTATTTTCCACGTGGTATTTTATCTTCGAAGGCTTCAAACAGCAAAATCTTCCAGGAGAATTCGACTAAGCCGCTTTTACGGAATCGCGTTTGAGCATCGATTAGTACACTTTCTACGTTAGAAAATTGTATTCAGGTTGCCGGGCTGAATGTAATCGAGTTGCCTATTGTTTTCGCGATCCAAGCACGGCGCGGCGCAGGTGTTAACTAAATGTATAATACGTGGCTCGGAGTTTCAAAACTGAGCTGGGATACCTCTACAGCTATGCGTACGTAAATGTCAGGATTGTCAACTCGTGCATGCGTTTACTACTCGATCCCCGACCGCTTCGAGAGCTAGAAACTAGCAACCAGGTGTTTCGTTTCGGCGATTCGGTAGGGACAGGCGGAGTTAATTAATCCTTTTCGAGAGACATCGTTTCCTGGTTATTGTCCAGCTTTGGCTAAGTGCAAAGTGAAAACGAAATCTGTGTTTTCTCTCGTGGTATCTTGAAACGTTCAGGAACTGAAAACGCTCACCTTCGACGTGTCCGGGAAGCTCGCTTCCCGAAGGACACGAAATTGCTGTTGAAAGCCGCGATTGGGTAGGTGTGTCACGAAATTAATTCGAGAATCGATAGTCTCATTCTAACATGTTTTTTCCACGGGACACTCGCGAGGCCCGTGGTAAACAACGGAGTCAGCGCAAGTGAAACCTCCTCGTATTGCTCGAAAAGTAGGTAACCTTCGTCCGCTGCGGCGTTCTCGAAAAATGCGTTTCGACCAAAGGATATCGGATGAAAGTGTGCGTCCGGGGAATTACAGCGTGTATAACCGAGGACACGCTATGGATCGACTGGTTTTTTTACGAAAAATTTCACGTTCACAAACGATTACGCCTTGTCGTTGGATCCTTGAATCGTTTTGCAAAGGTAATCTCAACGATAATGGATATCATTGAATATGCGACGTATTTCATGCATCGTATCTGCTCATTTATACGCATTACTGTTGGTCTCACAAACATTCAACGTTCACAGCTTATAATAATTGCAAAAATAATTATAATAGGACAAAATGTATCTTTAGCGCATAGTTCACGCTTGCAAGGTGTCGTATCGCTATTATAACTGTTTAGAACGACTATTTCCTTTGGCACGGCAAAACAAGCCGTGGCGAACCGCGACACGACGGCGCGGAGCATCGTACGGGCAATTAACAATTTCCCGCGACTCGCACGAATTTCATCGTCTATCTTGGTCTCGCGTCGCGAGCTACGGTTTTCGACCCCGGCTTCGTGGAAGCCGCTTCTGCGCTTCGGCCAACGTACTTGTCTACTCTCCGCCTACTCACAATCAGCTAGGGAACACCGGCCGCGCAGCGAATAAGTACTGTTATGAGAGTAACCGACTGTACGACTCGTCATAACGTGAACAGGTATTTCGCTGTTTTCCCATGCCGTCCGGCGCGGCACGCGGTTACATATTGGGAATGAAACGTTGCGCTACCGTACGAATTCCCAAAGCAACTCGCTCTTACAAAAAAAAACACCTGTTGCGTCAACGCGGTAAAAGAAATCGGATGATTGCGTTCTGGATTTGTATGTAAAATAAAACTTTAATGGGATTGATTTGAAAAGTGAAATCTGGACAGACGTTTGTTCTTATAAATATTACATGCAGATAAAGGATTATGATGGTATTTATGTAATATATGGGATGACAAAATAGTTCCCGTATTAAAAATTTAAAGAAGATTTAAAAGTCATTCGAGCGCTGATGGCGCCGTCAGAATGCGGTATCTACCAGTTTGCTTTCGAATGCATATTCATGCGAATGAAGAAACACGGCGAAAAACAGAAGGAAAGGAAGCAAAACTCTACTAGACGGCAGAGCACGGTTTCAGGCCTGCTCACTTTCTCACTGTCTACACGCTTTCATCCAACTTGGCCAGCGACTGCCTGCACGTATCAGCGGGTTCGATCTCCCTGGAAAGATTCGCGCCTGACGAATTAACGATAGGAAATGGAAATTCTATCTTATGTAAACCTTTTCCTTTCCACCGAAAATTTATTTCCCGTCGGAAATACACGACTAGGTGCTCGTCGTTGGAAACAGGCAATGGAATAAAGAGAATAATGAAAAAACTTTCTTCCAATTCAAATTCGATCGAATTGCGACGTTCCTTTTGCACGTGCCGTACGAGGTACACCTTTAATGTCCACCTGCTATCACGTCTGCTTGCGAAGGACGCATCTGTTCAGATAAACGTAGTGATAGCTTGAAATGACGGACTGAAATTAAAGTTTACATAGCTTTTGAGATACCAGAGTGGTGTACATGTACAAGAAATATTTAATTCTTGAAAGATTAGGATGGTCAAAAAATTTTGTTATTCTAAACAAATTCCTTCGAATATTACTTTTATTCATAATTCCGGAAGGATTAATTCATTTGACTGATAATTGTTTCTAAAATCGATCCTATTATCGACACGCATTCTGATTTACGTCACGCGACGCATTATTGACGGTGAATGCTATTATTAACCGTTTCTGCTTTTAACACGAAACCTCCTCCTGGTTGAACGTTCCTGGCGCGATTGCTAAAACCCAGAGCGAGCCGTTCTAGTTTATAAACTTTGCAATAAAGTAAAGAAAGGAGGATTCACTTTCGCACGTCAGCCGTCACTCACGTGCACGTACATACGTGCATCTCCACATATGCGTACTCAATGTTTGCTGATTCAAGGTCCCCGTGATTCATGTCCGTTTATGAAATGTAATATGCACATTGTCGACGTATGCACGCCGGAGTCACGGTCGTAACGAGCCATGTTTCGTTCATTACAATACATACCTACGCGACCGGGAGAGTGGACGCGCTGTTTCCGTAACGAGTGAAAATTGGGGTCAATCGCTCGATTCCTCATTCGCGCGCCTTCACGATCAACGAGGCTGTGGTGAGTACGGCGCGCGCGTGTGTGCAACTTAGCTGACTACCTGTTTTCGGCGGAGTCCCCGATTTCCCCATGATTTTACGACATTGACATTGCGAGGACGGTAATTACGTTCGAAGGCAACAGAAAGTAAGAATGAAACGAGGAAATTGTGAAGAATCCAATAACCTTGTAAACCCCGCGGAACCAATCGATTTGTTTCACTTTGTCATCGATGAAACAGTGCAATAAACAATATACATACATGCTTACATGTATAAACAGTCGATTTCCTTAATATTAAATTTAAAAAACGTTTAATATTGGAAAAGTATTTTGAAGAATCGTTCATCTCTCGATGCCAATGGTTCAAATAAGAATGAATTACTATAACGTTAGATATCAGGCACTAGTGTCTTTGTCTGGGTGAAAAGTCAGAACATAGCACGTCGCCGCGTGGGAAGCGTGTTATCAACTTATCAAGCCCGCATGACAGCGTTAACCTGTGTCGTTATCGTTCCTGTATGTACTCGCCTTCAGCACTGCCCACAGTCAGTTGCAAAAGCTCGTATACTTATTCAACGTCAATTACCCTAAGCAAGAAAAACTTGGAAATTAGAACTATGATAGCTTTAAAGGATATACTAATTGTGTGTGTATGAAAAAAAACTTGCAGAATTATTTCTTCTTCAAAGCAAATATCTTGCTAGATGTATGTAAACTTTTGCGATAGACTGTATATGTACTTCGCCCCAACGTTACTATTCAAACTCGAGTTCGTATATCTCGTGTAAAAATTTTACAAAGGTCGTGCTCACTTTCGTCACTGGCCTCGATCAATTACACCGTTGTCCTTGTCGTTCTGATAGGTAGTTACAACTAAGCGTGTGTGCGTTTACGTACGTGGGAGATCCTTGCAGGAAATTCCCATAAAAAGAGCGTTTGATACACGACGCAACTTTGACCAGTGTACCTGCTCCCCTTAATTACAGCCGGCGAATGTTAATTAGCTACCGAGTAAGCAGCATTCGCGAATTAAATGCGCCTACTAAATGACACTGTATCGAAGGTTTCGCGTATACATCGTCGCGAGGGGCAATTAAGTCGTCTATTTGCATTTGCGTTTCGAAGGGAAATACTTAATCGTATCCCAGAAATTGCGAATCAATTAAGATAAAATGCCATTGACCAACGTATTGCGAAAGAGGCTAAACGACGAAAGAAGTAACATAAGTGGCGAGTTTATCCTTCACGTGGTATGGTAATCGCATAGATAATCAACAGGCATAGGTGAAACTGGGACAGATCGTTACCTTTTCTCTCTTTCAATTATAACGAACCGTGAATGTGAACTCGCAAGATTTTTTTATCATAATGCTGCAATCTTTGTGATTTTGTTTAATACGACTCGGTTAAACGATGGAACGTAAACTTGACATACATCGCGTTTCGAAAGCAGCCACGAGGATTGACTGCTTTGAAAACAGCCAACATTTTCGTTGTAGTATTATCAAACATTGCGTGACGCAGCAGTGCTTTGTACATAATTCGTCAGTCTCAAATGGGGCCACGACACGATTTTCTATAATAATAATAATAATAATAATAATAATAATAATAATAATAATAATAATAATAATGTGAAACAACTACACACACATTTAACTCTTTCTGATCCATTTGAATGCACGACATAAAATAAGTCCTTATTTGCGTAGTCGTTATACAGAATATGTTCCACTACGGTTAAGTACTGGCTTTATCAATTGATTGAAGTCGAATGCGCTATGATTCCAAGACATTTGACGTTTGCATTCATTCGCGAGAAGCTCGTATAAACCTGGTAATACAGAGCTATGAAAATAACTACGTGCTAACGAGAGGCAGCCTGCATAAAATGGAAATTCGTTTACGGTTATCGAGGCACTCGCGATGCATTACCATCGCGTTATCGATTCGTCGTGAACGTTTCGATAACACTCGAATGACAATGATTCGACTCGCGTATTACTCACGTCCGCGAGAAGGACGAGGGGAAAACCAGAATTAGCCAGGTAAAAAAACTCTTACGAGACGAGGCCAGATAATTTAATGTTAGAAAATTTCCGCAACGTCCGCGGGAACAAGGCGTGTAAATAAAATGACCGATGATCAGGCTTGGCAGAGGTGCGAACGGTCGGCCGTGAGGTGCTGGCTACCGCGCGTTACGTATTCTACGCGGGAGCGACTGCCGTGATTCACGGTTGACCCCGCGGACCATAACGGTGCCAACGTCGATTAATACGTAATGGACGCCTTAATTGGTGGACGACACGTAACGCGTGCCTCTGCGCCCTGAAACCGTAGAAGCCGGAGGCTATCGTCGTTGCTCGCTTTCCCACGCCTCGAAATTAATTCCAAGACGCTGAATGGACATTATGAAACTTTTTGCTCCGACTTGAGAATATGCGGTATGTCGGTACACGCTGTTTTACAAGTAATCTGAATGACCGTAGTGCGAGCTATATTTATAACTGGATAGTTACAGTTTAAATAACTCGCTGAAAGAGCACGTGTCGGCCAATGACGAATGGTGATGTCGCAAGACGAGAAATGTTTTAAAACTTGAAACTGGAGATCGTCTAAACTCGTCGAACCAGATTGATTACCTTGTCATTCGAGTTGGCTCCAGGAGCTAGTCTAATAAAACTTGATCTTACCGAGCCGTTTAAACGTGTCAACGAACTCAGATTTCTTCAACAGTTTTGTATGAAAAAAAACTTGCAGAATTATTTCTTCTTCAAAGCAAATATCTTGCTAGATGTATGTAAACTTTTGCGATAGACTGTATATGTACTTCGCCCCAACGTTACTATTCAAACTCGAGTTCGTATATCTCGTGTAAAAATTTTACAAAGGTCGTGCTCACTTTCGTCACTGGCCTCGATCAATTACACCGTTGTCCTTGTCGTTCTGATAGGTAGTTACAACTAAGCGTGTGTGCGTTTACGTACGTGGGAGATCCTTGCAGGAAATTCCCATAAAAAGAGCGTTTGATACACGACGCAACTTTGACCAGTGTACCTGCTCCCCTTAATTACAGCCGGCGAATGTTAATTAGCTACCGAGTAAGCAGCATTCGCGAATTAAATGCGCCTACTAAATGACACTGTATCGAAGGTTTCGCGTATACATCGTCGCGAGGGGCAATTAAGTCGTCTATTTGCATTTGCGTTTCGAAGGGAAATACTTAATCGTATCCCAGAAATTGCGAATCAATTAAGATAAAATGCCATTGACCAACGTATTGCGAAAGAGGCTAAACGACGAAAGAAGTAACATAAGTGGCGAGTTTATCCTTCACGTGGTATGGTAATCGCATAGATAATCAACAGGCATAGGTGAAACTGGGACAGATCGTTACCTTTTCTCTCTTTCAATTATAACGAACCGTGAATGTGAACTCGCAAGATTTTTTTATCATGCACGCACTCTCGGTGTACTGATTATAATAAAAACATTTTCATATAAAGGCTACTGATTGTGAGAAGTGGGACACCGTATGCAGCGCACGTAGTGTGATCTGAGTTGTACCAGTTAAGTGTGAAACATGTTACACTCGTGCTCGTATTTTTCTTTTCTTTTTTTACCATAATGCTGCAATCTTTGTGATTTTGTTTAATACGACTCGGTTAAACGATGGAACGTAAACTTGACATACATCGCGTTTCGAAAGCAGCCACGAGGATTGACTGCTTTGAAAACAGCCAACATTTTCGTTGTAGTATTATCAAACATTGCGTGACGCAGCAGTGCTTTGTACATAATTCGTCAGTCTCAAATGGGGCCACGACACGATTTTCTATAATAATAATAATAATAATAATAATAATAATAATAATAATAANATGCACAGTGGCTCGCGAAAGTGTTCGAACACTTATCATTAAATACTAGATTTTTATGAATTTGTAAACAAAAAGTTTATGAAGAAACGTACATTAAATAGAACATAGAAGATGTATGTGAAGCTTAAAGAGAAGTCGTCCTACAATCCTTGATGTGCTTATTGCAATATTTAAAGAGAGAAACTTTCTGTTTAGTTTTCCATGATGCCTGTTCTTGATTTTCGAAGGATAAAGCAGACGAAATCAGCGACATAAAAGGAAGATCTAATTGTCGGGTGAGTAATTGTCTTGAATATAAAACTCATAACTCAGTTAGGCTGTTGGACGAGACAGTGCATGAAAAGAGTTAGCTAGTTGACGCAATACAGCCGTTTGAAACGTCTATATCTGTTCTTATCCTCGGGAATGCGAGTCGTGAAACATTTTTATCGTCGCTCGTACCCTTGACGATTTTCTTCCTATTCGCGAGCACGGAAATAAGAATGACTAAGACCGTTATTCTTTTATGGAAGCATAAAAAGTCGTATAGTACCTTCGTTGGAAAATATGGCGTCCAAGTTTCAGTGTCATAACACCTACGAAGTGTTATTCTTTGCTCGAGAAATATCGAGCCAACGTTCATCAGCAGAAGTAGCAACGCTTCAATCCAATATTATAAATTAGGAATATTCTATTTTGAAGAGATTTTCCAATTAATTTATTGGATCTTTCAACAGGAATATTGAACGCATCCCTCAGAGGCTGAGGAGAACAGATCAGAGAGACCGTGTGAAAGTACAGGCGCCAGGAATTAATAATAGCGAACGGAGAGCGGTAGCTCAATAACGCGGAAACAGCCGCGGCGATAAAAGGGCTGTGTTCCCTGTCACGGCGAGGAATTGTAGCGTCCCCGGGTGACAGGCATGAAATTCACGGCAATACGATGCGCGCACGTTCTTCTACGGATCGCGGACCGGTCGTTCCACAAATTAATGCCGAACCGGATGACGTTGATTAATAATTGTATATGATGCTGCAAGTCCGTGGGAATCCGGAATTTCATGTTTTCAACTACACAAATATTCAATTATACTGTCGATAATCGAACACCCCTTTTGGAAACATTTCTTTAGACAACAAGAAAATTAAATTAATCACGTTTCCTGTAGATATTAACAGGATTATTTTAAGATCGTACTTTTTATTGTATATCTTAAATAATAGCCACAAAATTTACAATATTTCAACTTCAAAATATTCTTAAATCATGTATTAAGAATTATACAAAATTACAAAATTCTGTCACTCGACACAAGAATTCAAGATGTAATAACTTTTTTAATATGCTCGCAAAATTTATAAAATTTTTTACAGTGTTTTATAATTATAATATTTAGTAACTGTTAAACTTTCAATGCTTCGTCATAGTTTTTATATAAGAATTCGTATAACTTAATTGCACTTCTATCGCAGCTCCTGGAATCGATAATTGGTTATTGATAAACAACATTAATCACTGAGCAAAATGTATTCATTATCTAATATTAAATTGCATTATGCGTAATGAAGTGCTGTGCACAGTTAGTTATGGCATCCATAACAAATTATCATAACGCAGTTCATTTCAGAATGCGAGTATAATCAATAGCAGCGTGTATGAAAAAAATGAAGCCAATCTATTCATCGTATATTTTACACGAGTCTTCGACGGATGGAACTGAATTAGCAACAAACTCATCTCGAAGTTAAGAATGTATTGGCTATACAGTCAATCCCAATAGTTTATGTACCTTAGAAAAACGCATTTCCTATAATTAAAAAGAAATCAGACGTCGGAAGAATAATGCTAATAATAAATAGCTACGTGCTAAAAAGTGTAGAAGGAAATNGTTCTTCCGACGTCTGATTTCTTTTTAAAAAATGCGTTTCTAAAGTGCATAAACTTTTGGGATTGACTGTATAGTCAATACATCCTTAATACACTTCCTGCTGTTGCTTACCATTCGCCATTATTTCTACGTACGAGGCTTTAGGTTCAGAACGCAGGTTTCGAAATGATCAGGCGTGTCAATGGATGATTGCGATTAGAGGAGCGATTCACGAAACCGTTGTTAGCATGGAAAACAGTGTGCGATGATGAAAAACGATGGGAATAACGAGAACGCAGCGAGAGAAGTCTACGGCGCGTTACAATTAATAACGTAAAAAGCAGAGAGTGGCTCCGGTGAAAGAGAGATAGATAGCCGAGGTAGATTGCGGGCTAACCACCGCGGATAGAAAAGTAATGAAACAAAATAGAGAAGGTGAATGGTGGGAACTAAATAATCATTCGAGGCGTCAAAAGACAAAGGATAACGGAAGAGGAGATTTTTAAAGCAGTTAATGGAGGCGCGATGGAGCAGCTGCGAAGAAGTCGGCGGCGGCAGCATCGGACGAGGAAAAGAATCCGATGCGGTTAACGGTATCAATACGAAAGGGCATACTGTTAAACGCCTTAAAAGTACCGACTGTCGGCGTTAAATGTCTACTTGGCACTTTGGCACTAGGCTGTGACAATTATTATCAAGATACTTCGTAGAAGTATGACAAGTTCGAAGCAATGAAGTTCTATTTATGCAACTGACACGAAATTAACTGTAACCTATTGCTACTTCCTGACTATGTAAAATCTGTTCTCCAAATTCGCTTTCAACGAACGGTAGTGAGCGAAGGAGTCAAGAACGAATCGAACGGACAGAGGAAGTTACAGTAAGAGAGTCGGGTTCGATTAATCCCACTTCGTCGTCGGGCGAGCTCAATTTTGCCGGGGCAATTACCACGCTGTGCCGTAAATGATCCCCAGCTGACATTCCTCGGTAATGACAAAAGAAACGACCGGAGGAGGAGACGGGTTGCGAGCCGATTTCTCAGAAACCGAACGAGTTACAGAGGCGCCGAAACAAAGAGATTCGTTGTCTCTTCCGCCTACGAGTCCAGCTACTGAGTACGCGGAGCTCGTTTCTAGAGATGGAACACCTTTGAATTCCAATAAGTTGATAGGCCGGGCAATGGTACGGTACGGCACGGATCGTGACGAGGCTATCGATATCCATCTGTTCCGCGAGTGTCCTTCCCGTGGTATCTTTTCTGATAAACTCGCGGAGGACAACGACTCGGCTGTCCGTTCCGTGGTCAATCGGCGAGAGACAAGCTGCTCGGCCGGTGACATTAAGAGCCGGCCTAATGACAGAGTGTCCCAGACGAGACGAGAATTATTAGAAAGTGGCCAGTCGCATCCTCGCGAGGATAAACGCTGTCGTGTTTTCAGGTTTGAAATCATTTATTATTACCCTTAAACGTCGTCGTGACAATTTATTCGAGGATGTATCTCTTTTACTTAGACGCTCTTGCCTCTCGTGGAAGCTAATGAACCACCGGCAACAGAAAATGAGCAACGGTTCATTACGTTAAACTGCAGCTACGCGTTTAAAGCGGAATATGGTGTATGTATAACCGTAGCACCTCGTCGTACGCATTGTTCGCTACGTTAACGACGCGTCGTGTTGCACCTGACTCGATTCACTCCGCGGGGAAATCTCGATTCCCGCGGACTGATAACGGATCGTTTCGTCAGGCTAATTTTCCGGTGGAAAATTTGCGTGAAATATGTTAGGAGGCTCAGTGTTAGTGAGGCAACTCCACTGGCCTACCGTTAAACATGACGCGTTTCTCCTCCTCCTACTCTTCGATGGATTTACTTTCCGAGAAGAGCGATTTAATTGAACGGCCCATTAGCGACGATATTTCATCTTACGTTCAGATCGGAGCGTTCTGATTGAAAGCCAGTCGACGGATGGGCGTAGCTCTACGAGGAATCGCGGAAGTCGTAGTTGCGGGTGACGTATTGTATATCTCGCGTTGCGCGAACGCGTCTATCGGGAAAAACTGAATTAATAAACGCGTGACTGTTCGCGGTACGTTGATATCTCGGCAATTTAAATTTCTTTCGCTTTTTATCCCCTCAAGAATTGATAGTATTCTGTGCGTGTACGTGAAATAATCATTCAGATTTTTGCAATTTAATTTCACGATTTTTAAGCAACTCTATGTATTATGTTTGCTGATAGCTTATCGAGAAATAACAGTGAGATCTGTCATGTAATGTACGGGGCGATCAATGGGTAATTAGTGTTCCGAATCTCGATTCTCCTGTCACCCACGACGATTTTACCGCAATCGGTTTCGAGGTGAGGCAAGACGGAACGCAGTCGATTCACTGGCAAGGAGAGCTGGGCCCGTAAGGTCGGAGTCTTGTTCGTGAGAGAACAACGGTCCATTATGTCAGACACAACGGAGCGTGTCGTGAAGAGAGCACCGGAAAAGCCGACTGCCAGGTCCGAGGCGACGTCTCATGGGAGATAGCAAACCTGTTTCCGGCCGTTCCTAATTGTTATCAATCAGCCCGATCGGTGGCTTCGATCGGAAACTGGATTGAGTACGCGTTAATCCCGGGCAAGGCGAGCTCAATTAGAGTTGCCGGACACGATAATTGAGGGCCGATAATGCCATCGCCTGCTCACGGAAACCGATCTGATACGAGCAGCGAAACGAGCGGCACGGCGAAGAGACTTCAAATCAAAAGGGCACGCCGCCGTTATTTACGAATTTTTGCGCGTTTCCATCGATTTGATTGAAGTAGAACGTGAGAAACGGGGACTTCGTGAAAATACGATTAATGATCGAAGGAAAGCGACGGATCGAGGGAAGAATCGGCCGAAAAACATTTCACTGTCCGATCAATTACGCTTTTTGTCGCGTCACAAATTGATCCAGTGTAAATAATAAAAACGGCGGATCCTCTGGCAGACTTTTCATCTAGAAGAACTAGAGAAAACAATTTGTAACTGGCTTGGATTTACACGTTCTTATATCCGTCGCGATGAAACTAATTGCTACGAGGCGAAAATTGTTTATTATGAACAGGTTTGTTTGCAATTTGCGTGCGACAGCTGCGGTTAATTTTCACAAAGGAGAAACCCGTTGGCGAACGAAACGAGGGAGAAGTTTTAAAACGGTGTTGCAAGTCGAACGGCGCGATACAACAACATTGGCATTTCACCTTTATTGCAGTATTTCAGCCCGTGGCGCGTATCCCGCGCTGAATCCGACGGAACATCCTATAAAGCAGTTTTAATTGCCTTGCGACGACCAATCGGACCGGGAACCAATTAAAAAAGGGATTAAAAAGAAATCACAGGAAGGTAGAGGGGGTAGTGTGTAAAAGCTGAACGAAAAGACGTACGATAAGCACGCATGAGTTACAAGTTTAACGTACGTGTAACACGTAAATAGTACGTACGCGGCGCACCGTTGCTCGCGGCAAGAAGCGGAAATAAATACGGCCGTCGCGTCGTAACATGTAAACGTTAAATTAACCGGTTAAATATCCGTTTGATCCGGCAGTTAAATAACAACGTATGTACCACTTGGTGTACGTCCGTACTTACGTACGTGCAATATAGTTAAAAGATTGGGGGAAAGAGCGCGTGTACCGGAGAAACGAGAAGAGGGACAGTGTTGTGTAGAAAGTAAGGGAAAGGAGTAGGAGGAGAGAGAGAGAGAGAGAGAGAGAGACGTCTACGGTTTATGAATCGTATTCGCGACTAGACAGCGGGGCCGTCAATAAACTCGTCGATGAATCTCGATCATCGGGCAGGAAATAAATAAACCGTCGTTACGCGACGCTGCGAGGATCACGAACCGCGACAAATAGAGTACCAGGCAGGCACGAGGAGCGTCGGCGAACGAGGGACACGTTCGCTTCAGCCGTTCTTGCTCGTTGCGGTCCCGGCCGTATCGAGCGAATAGTTCCCAGGCTTCACCGACTCGGTTACTTCTTAAGCTACGTAAGCTGATTCCTGAAACTAGCAGGCCTATCCGCGAACTGTATCGCGCGCGTGTGTACCGTACGTCCGTGTCCGATGGATGGGTTAATTAAAACGAGCACACGCGGAAAACCGGGTATGCAACTACGTTGCAGTTTCGTCTTTATCTATGTCAGGAGTTTTAAACGATTTCGTATAAATACGTTTTCAGATATAGACCGTGCGATGTGTATAGAAATATGTGTAGAACAAAATAGTGGATGCCTGTTGGTGGGTCGAAGTGAAATAAAAAATACGAGCCAGTCATGTGACAGGCACCGCTAATTTCGCCTGTCCGGCTATTTGATGGACGTTGCCATGAAGAAACACAATAAAGTTCTCAACATGTCAAAAGGAACGATCAATATCTTTTCTCTTTTTTTTTTTCTTTTCACTTTTCGATATGCCTGCGAGGAGAGAAATAGACGATTCACCGTTCGCAATGACCTTAGATGGCTTCCAAAAAAAGACGGTGGCTACGGGAAGCCTTTAAATGGTTCTGCCGCGATAATCATATGCGTTCTTTTCCCTAGCGAAGCCTGTCACGCTGCCACGCGAAGCAAAACACATTCGATATTTTCTTTATAACTCTAAGCAGGCACTTTCAATCACTTGCGAATAAGTAGAATAAAATAGTCTTACTAACTTTCAGTAAAAGATATATAATTGTGAGTCATGATCAATATTTTATGGTCTTCGTGCAAGACTCGAAATTATATACATTATATTAATTTCCATTCGTTCTTTCCATTGAAAATTAATTATAATAAATAGTTTCATTAAAAAAGGATTTTGCTGAACACAAAAATATGAACGATTGTTAAAATTATTAGAATTTAAATCAGACTACGATGAAACTTTTGTTAATTTGATGTCCTACCGTATGTGTAATTAGTCGATCGTAAACATTTTGATCTACGAGGAGAAATAAAATAATCCACGGGGGTTCATCTATCATCGTCAAACTGACTGAGAACGCGTCAACCGACAGGACTTTCTACCTAGCGCACGATACACGCACGCAAATAACGTCGATAAAACGCGCGCTGCAGTCACTATCTGTATCCTTTTATCTAGCAGGTGAAAATGAACGACGCGATAGCGTGCGCTTCCTACCGGTGCACGCCTCCTCGGACACCTTTCCTACGCGAACCCTCGACCTCTTTCGGCGTTTTTCAACCGCGATTTGCTCCCGTGGCGAACGAGGAAACGGTGGCACCGCTGCTTACTCGCCAATTGCGCTCCAATCAACCGAATCCCGCTTCCAACTCACGGCTCCTTACGATCATCAGAGTTTCGATCTCTGCTTTGTAATAATAAACAGTTCTCGTATACCTCTTGATTTTATACAAATATTGTAAGAATTCCACTGAAATCTAATCGTTAGTTTTGGTCAGAATTATCCTATTACGCTTTTCCTTTCTATATAAATACTAATGTACTCAGGAAGACAAAGTATATAGTCACAATATTTGTCATGGTCACGACTGCGCGAGAATTACATAAAGCAATGATGTGGTTTCTTGCAAATTATTATACGGAGTGTATAATTATCCATTATCGCTTGTTTATCGCTCGTTACGAGAAAAGTCGCTACTGTTAATTAATTTTATGATTAACAATCTGTCGAAATTATTCCAGATAAGAGTATATTATCTATAATATTCCGCTATGTATTTACTACTGACAGGTATGTTATTTGTCCACGATTTCAAATTAAGGTCAAATTCAGCAAACCAACAGACCGTAACTGAAAAATACATATTTAATTTTGAGTTGACTAGAGTTTCGTATATAAATGTTGACTTCAGAGTAGGACAAGTGGCTAGTGATTCATTCAGCCAAACGGCTTAAGTATAACGGTGCCAAAAAATTAAAGTCAGAACGACCATCAGACAGTGTAATGAAATTACGTTGTATTACAAAATTCGAGCAATTAGAATATAATACGAAAAAATCTAAACCTGAAATCGAAAGTTCGAGGATGATGATCGAATTTTTTTGTAAAATTCCAAGTTGTGTGAAAATTACAAGATGAACCATTGAGTGAACTCGTACCTTCGTATTCGAAATTTGTTGCTCCCGAAGACCATCGTGCCGATGTTGCTCACGATGTTGTAAATGCTCAGATTCAACATCTGTCCATTAGCCGTTTACTCGTGCCGTCTCGTTACAAACAAACACTTCAGGTCATCGCATCCCCTTCTCTAACAAATCCTGTCAGTCGTGTTTCCTCCTCGCGTGTCCCGGTACCGCGCAACCAATCGCACATTTGTCAACCCCGCAGCCGATTCTCGTCCACTTCCGCCTGTGGCCCGTTTCACCATAAAAAGAATCCACGAAAAGCGTGCACTCGCCGCGTGTACCAAGCGAACGATCGCGTTCACCGATCAACGTTACCAATGCCAGTGGCAGCGCGTTGACAGCTGTCATCGACTTTCGCGGAGAGATCCACACGATACAAACGGCACGGCCGCTGTCAACGGAATGACTGTGGAGCACGGGGCCGACGGGGCACGGGTCGCGATCGCGGGACGCTGCGTCGGCGGTGGGGGCAGAGAAAGAGAGAGGGCAGTCTGCGAGCGTTGGATGAAAAGAGAAACGAACGAGACGACACCGGCCGAAGTTGCACGAAGACCGTCGGTGGGACCGCGACGCGGGGGGACGAACGCGGTGACAGGTCAACGTGTCGTGTCTCATTATCTTCCCCTGTGATCTGAACCGGCAAACCGTACGCATGTAAATAGCGCGGGGAACGTTCATGCTCGCACCCCTGAATCACATTAAATGCCGTTGACAGGCCTACCTGGCACCACTACCGTGCTACGGTGGAAACGGCACGGGAGATGCGATTACGTAGTATTCGTCTACGAAACCGGTTTAATTTGATGTCTAGAGAGCGGCTAATAAACACCGAGATAAATCAGATCTTTCCTGAATCACCGTTCGTTTCGTGCACTGTGAACTACGATTGCAGTTCACGAACTTCAACTTATCAGTAGTCAGGCTGTTGGAATTTGAAGGCGTAAGCAAGATAGTATAAGATTGTATTAGATTACAATATGTATCCATCAATTCAAATATGCTACCGATTGGAGCGCGTGGAGACAACCTGACTCACAACGTTCGACGACATCGTATTTATTTTCACAAATAATTGCGTGGGGATTGAAAGGTTTGCGCGATTGTGTGCAAAGAATATACAATATATATATATATATATTTATTCAATTAATCTAAAACATGAAAG